CTGCTGTGTGCTATAGGCGCCCTTTCGGAAGAACGTTTTTGAAAATAGGAACAAATTAGATTTAAAATCAGCATGGAAATTTCCTACAAGATCTTACACTTTTTTTCGATTCCACTTTCTGAATTACGATTCCAGTTAGGTCCGTGACCAGCTGTATTTGCATGCTCTTTTCCAATTTTTCATTCAAAGACTCCCCAATGACGCTCTAAGGTAAGTACGATGTTGGAAACTGCAAGACAATCGAAAACTCTTGGTTTTCGACGCTGGAAGTAAAAAATTTGCAACGCCTGCTAACTATTTCATGGAGAGGTGGTTAAAATTACGTCTAAGTTCGCAAATTTCGAATTGTGTTTTCTGTCAAAACCAAATCTAAGATCGGAATTTAATTATACGACAAAACATCAACAGATCTTCCAAAAATTTTCAACGTGGAGGTAGAGGGTATTTTTAAAATACAGAAAGAAAGACTTGTTTTAGAGGAATGGCATATTTCAACTGAATCCAAACTAAAACTCCTCCTCGAGAAATCTTAGCTGCAAACCATTCGATCTAATAGTTACTTTAACTACTCTAGATGAATTTCATCTAACATATGATGAGCCAGGCTACTTCCGCTGGAAAATTCTGGTCTTTATTTATTCCATAAGAAAAAAGAGACATCGATCATCCATGTACATATTTTTTTCCCAACTCGGACAACTGCCCATCTTGACCGATCAAAGAGTTTTCATTGCCAACATTGTCCGGGAGATTTTTCATCGCTCCGAACCACGCATATCGTTCGACCCAGTCAATCGAGTCGAGCTTCTGTATGCTCTGAGTAAGAAATTCATCAACTTCTTCTTGTGGCGTTGATCCGCTAAAAGTAGTACAGGCAAATTCTGTGACCCAAACAGAATGTTTTGAACCAAAACGTGCTCGAGCCTTTTCTAAATAAGCGATGAAGTTGTCTACGCCTTTGCCATACCAATGAAGATTGAGAAAGTCAACCTTTGGATCACCTAGTTTATTGAGTTCTTCGAAGAACGATGCGAGCCAGTTAAGACCTTGGTCGCTTCCGGTGACCGATGGAGATCCGAGTCGAACGCCTTTGTTAGCGAGTGGTGCAATGTGTTCTTTCCATATTTTGGCTGCATCAACAGGAGACATCGTTGCTTGTCCATCATGGTCAGGCTCATTGAAGCCGAGTAGAACCTTTGCACCTTCCGGAAATTGGCCTACATCCTTTCCATTCCAGAATGTGGGGACGAACTCCAAATTACCCGCATCGGTCTTTTTCGGTGACCAGTTGTAGAGCCACGAGATTTTTCCGTTTAAAAAAATGTCGGGCGAATCGGAATTGTCTTGAAGAGCCCATGCAATGCCACGTTTCCCAGTCCTACAAAGTGAATTATTCTTTTATAATTTTATAGAAAGGGCCTTATTATGTCTGGACACTTTTAAACTAACCGAAAAGAGTTCGAAAAAACGGAGGGATACAAATGTTTAGCAAGATGTCAGCTTTTTTGACAGCGGTAAAAACAAATTCCCATAATCATCATATAAATTGAAAATTTGAGAATGATTTGTACTGATCGGTGAATTTTCCGCAGTTCCCGTAGAAATACAATTTTCGCACGGGACTCTTTTTTTTAGAAGTTCCTTCAATTACAAATAAACGGGATATAACTTACTAAAGATTAAAACGGTTTTGTTCGAAAGTTTGTTATTACAAAGGACACTCTGTAAGTTTTTACTGCAAAGAAGCTAGTGCTGTTACTTATGTCTCATTCTAAAGTTGAAAAAGAATTTTTCGCATACACGGTGACACGTCATTAGTCGCATCCTCTCTCTTACATGTATTCGGTCAGATGAAGAAACACAATTAAATTATAAGATCACTTGGAGAAGGATAGAATGAATGAAGACAGAGAAGAAGCGTACGTCTTATATAGATGATAGTGAATAATTAGTTTGCGAATGATGATTCACTAGGAAAATTCACACGAAAAGTGCACATGATGTTGGAAAAAGAGAGGGTGTTGCACAACAGTGCTGTTTACACTTCGCTCTCCTTTTTACCCACGTGGACGTATCTTCGTTCTTCCTCTACTACTGACACACGTTCTTCGTGTGTAGCGCGTGTCTATCCCCCACCTATCTATTATCATCAAGTATCGTATTATCCTTTTATTACCTGGCATTCTGCAGCAAATCAATGGTATGACATCGAAGCACGATTATCAGCACTACGCGAATATGGATCGAGCAAAGAAGGCTCAATTGTGTGATCATGGAAATGCTCATCAGCTCTATGAATGCATACGATTCACATCCAACAAAACCAACAACAACGGAAAATCTTCGTTGAAAAGAACGGAAAGTAAAATGGACGACCATCGGCACGGTTCCAATGACAAGTTTGAAGTGGATAATGACATTGATGACTCAGCAAGGCAAATCAACTAGACGGAGAAATAAAGCTTTTCATACAGGCGCATTCATTCACGGGAGGATAATAACGTCATCATCGCACTTCAGTGGCAGAAACGAAAAAAATGACATCATGCATCACCGTCACACCTCGGCGCAGCAGAGCGTCGAAGGAGAGAACGGAAGAGAGACGACAAAGAGCCCGATAACAACAGACAGGCGTTTGT